ATTTTTTTTATCAATTTTATTTTTTTTATAGAAATCAACTGCATTTTTTTATATATTGCATTGCAACAATTTTTTTTTTATAGCAGTTGTTGGGATCGAATATTTTTTCTGTTAAATTTTAGATTCTCGAATATAAAGGCGCTTTGTATTTTATTTCGACATATTTTTAATTTGCTTTGTATACTCGGGTATATGTTCATTGGCAGAAGGGTTAATAATGTTTCTCTATGAATTTTGTACAAATCTGTGCGATTGTATAAATCTCTTCGCTATGCCATTGTTGGTGCGAGTGTGGTTGTGTGCTACAAACGTGGCCGCTGTTGTCCTAAACCACGACATGCAACTGTCGCCTTTATCATGGTCATTGTAGCCGCAGCTACTTGATTGTTGTCATTTCGACATCAAAGCGTCAGCAGTAAACAGCATGTTGCGATCTGAGGAAACTTTTATCTGCCGTCAAACTCCTCGCCCTATCGATCAAACGCGCCCCTTATTTTTCATCTACCTTTCTCCTTTGATCGGAACTCGATGCTATTACAATATATGTTTGAATGATTGTTTGTACAAATAAAATAAATTCGCGAGAAAGTTAGATTTTTGTTTTTCTGCGTCGAAATTAATTTTGATGTATGAGATGTGATGTATATTAATTAATTATTTATATATGACTTATTTATATAAATATTAGTATATATAATTTATTTATGTAATATATGATAAATATAATATTATATCAAAATATGTATTTTGACGCTTTATGTTTTGATATCAAATCGCTAAAGTGTATTTTATTTTCCACATGTTTTTGTATTTAAAAAATGCAATTCGCAAATCGAATTTGTCGGTTTCTACCAAACTTCTGCAATCAGCACGATTAATAACTTCCAGATCGAGGGCTAACGGGTTAACTGGGTAGTTGGTTCGTCGGCTTTCGCGAGGTTTATTGAGCAAACATTGGCTGAAGTTGCGATTGCGGAACGTCGTATTGCCAAAATCGATCGCTTTACGACAGGCTGCTGAAAAGGGAATAGTCAATATGATAATACACACATACATATATGATTGTAGGTCGCACTTTTTGATTTTTCTTATTTGATTCTTCCTCGAATGTTTTTTATACGCGAAGCTAGCGCGTGAAATATTAATCAATGTTTTATTCTATTTGCGAAACAAGTGTTTTATGTACGTATATACGACAGATTACATTGAAAAGTTAAGCGTAGGAAGTTGGTTACCGTTAGTTTAGGATGATCCAAGGAAACACTCGCGAACTCTTGTTTGCCAAGTTACCTCGTAGCATCGATGTTATCAGATAATTCTCGCGATCGATTGATTACTTGCATGCCTTAATAAAGTTCGAAACTTGTGTACTCTTCATAAAATTAAATTGTAATATAGACGCAAATATGAAAGTTATATATACTGTTATATAATTAATAAAATAGAATACGAGTGCAAGAAAATTATTCAAACTAATATGAAATTATTTTATATAATTTATTAATTTAATTTTTTGTCTAATATTTTATGTTAAAAATTTTGTTCCACAAATAAATATTAATAACAGAACTTAATTAGCTCTTATTGCCTTTTATATGTATATTAATTTTTAAAGAGCTGTTACAAATTATATTATTAATTTAATATATACTTGTATTATATTATTTATACAATTTATATTTAGTATAATACATTATACATATATATATATCATGTTATTTATAACTTATACGATTACTATTGGACGAAATATTTATCAAGATATGGAAAACTCATCGCTGTTCTTTATTAGTATTGGAATTCTCGTAACTTTATATCTGCATGCGATACGAAAATATTAGTACAAGAAATTCCATCGAATGCGCAGATTGAAAGAACTTGAAGTGTTTACAACGTGTCGCGTTACTTCCGTTTTGGTCGATTGGTTTGTCGCGATCATCTCGATTGCACACTCGTCCACGCCGAGCGGAAAACGAGAAAATTTTCAGTCCGCCTCGTTCGCATTTCGTATACCACATATATAGCGATACCCGCGAAAGCGGATACTGATCGTTTTTAGCTTCCCTCCCGCCGGTGGTGGCTCGCAATCTACGTGTCGTAATTTGCTCAATCGTTCGATCTCTTTCCGGCCCGGTAGTCTTCCTCTGCCAATCGGCCCCCGATCGCGTTATCGAATGGGCGGATGGAACATTAGTTATCGGTAACAAGCACTCGGAACAAGTACGTTACAACGTACCGAGGGCATGTTCTACACAACCATAAAGTACACGTCACACCATACAATTTGTGCAAACCTCACCCGGCCTAGGTGAGGATTTGTTTATCGGCCCGCGGACAAGAGGATGCTGAACAGAACCGTATCTCGGAATAGAGACCCGGTTTCGACTGTGATCGAATTTTCGCATATATACCCATGTATGAGCCTTGCGAATTGCAATTTATGATTGTTGCCGATATCGCACGAGTGCGCGCGATTTTTCAGCAGTAATTGACTATTATCGAGAAAAATAAAAGTTACGCGATAAAGAGAATATTTTCAAATATAGGAATAAACGGCAAAAAGAGTCGCGATGCAGTAAATAACGCGCGCATATAAATTTATTAAAAATAATGCGAAAATTTAACTTGAAAATTAAAACAAACGGGACAATTTTCGCGGCTCTTTTTCAGCACACTGTTAAAGATTGATTTAAACAAAATTTGAAAATAAATTAGTGTCTATACAGTCAATGTGGATGAAATACGCGAAAAGTAATATATGTATAAAGAATATTTTAAAATTCGATTGAATAATCGAATTGGGAAGGGAAAATATCTGCCTGGCCATTTTTGCTGACTTTTCCGTCTACTTCGTTTTTCAGCTACGCGACAGCATTTACCTTTCGGTTTTCCGGTTACCGAATCTCACCCACACGGTCATCTCTCCCCGATTCTCGCTCTGTCTCGTTGATTTGTACCTAGCTTCGCGCAGTTTGTTCAGTTCAAACAACGGCGGGAGAGATACGAGAGACTTTTATTCGAAGCCGCAACTCGTTATCAACGCCACCGTCTGCGCCAGATGGTGAAATAATTTGAAACTTGCGGGTAAACGACAGGTCTTCGGTTATCGCGTAGGAAAACTGAAAATTGCTTGTCCCTTCTTAAGTTCCACGAAGAGAAGCGGGAAAAGGAGGAGGAAAGCACAAAGGCACCCTTTGCCGGCGCGCGTGAAGCGGATCGAAAGGAAGAAGGAGAAAACCCTATATATATATATATATATATACGCGATGGTAGGTGACAGCTTGGTGATAGAGCTGCCACGGGGATTGCGGAGGGTGGAAACTCCAAAACTTGTGTCGATAGATTCGTTAGGGCGAAACCCTGGGGGGGATGGTTCGTTTCTCCGGGTGGAGAATCGAAGATGCGCGTTCCCGCCCCATGTTTTCCACCCAGAATTTCCGGCCAAATTGAATCACGCGGAATTTCGCGGTAACAATCTTCTGTTTGACTTCGAGAGCGACTGGTTGATTTACTTCGTACTCAGGAACCGCGTGAGATCCTCAAGCCTGGCGATTTCATTCCTCTCATTGTGAACAGGTTCGAGCTTCTTCGGCGAAGTAACTCGATCACCTGGCTGGATCGTGAAGATCGCAGAGGCCATTTCAATGCCCGGGGGATAACTTCTTGTTAGTGAATTTTCGCGAGTGCGCTATTGACGCCATTTCCTCAAATAATTGAGTTTCTTTATACGTGCGAAATATCTTTGTCTAGACTGCGGAGGAATATTCATTTCAATCAACAATAAGTTATTTATACAAAACGAGGATGGAGGAGTTTAAAATTAATTTTCGGCCAGATTCTTAATTAATCCGTTTTATACCTGAATTTGTATTTGTGTAGAAAAGTCTTTTGCATTTTTGTTCTAGAATATTAATTTATGATTTGTATATAATATGATATAATAATGCGAGGTTTTATTAGATTGTTTTGTTAATTGAAGAATTGTTAAGAAAACGTCAATGGTGTGATCTACGCAACGCATTTATGATGTTATAAATAACAAAATTATCCTTAAATTTCCTTATATTTATTTTTCAAACAAACACGTAAGAGGAATTTAAAAACAATTTTGTTGCACCTGATATTTTTGTGCTTGACTTTTACAAGCTCTTTTTGCATTTATTTTAGAATATTAATTTATAATATCTATAGTATAAACAATGGGAGTTATTGTTCTGGATTGCTTCTTTCGAAGTAAAATTGTTTTGTTAATTGAATAATAAAAAACTATCATCATGTAATCCACGCGATGCATATATGACGTTATAAATAACAATGCACGAATGAATTATTCACAAGTGCACGACGGTGCATATTTTTGGATTAAATTACCTTAGGATTTGTCAGACGTCTCTTCGCGAAAACGTCCCCTAGTTAAAGCATTCATGTGGATTTTTCAATTTGTCCTACTTTCGTGTGTTTGTACAGTCCGATTAAAAAAAATTTACATACATTTCGCTCAAATTTACCGTCGTGTGCCTTTTGTGCGACTTGAAATTTCAGACATTTCGTGGTACACACGTCGTGGAAGTTTCATATCATAGCTCGCTTGAAAAGGCGCGATTCTCTGGCACATACAGTCTACACTTGTATGGCATTGATTTCCCTATCGTGGAATGTTCTGTGTACCGCAAACTCAGGTAGAGAACGGAGGCAGAAAACGGGAAGTTGACTTCACAAGGCATCCGGGGGGAATCGTTTGATTTGGCAGGAGCATTTCTCGTTCAAGCAAACCGATATTTACTGATGTTTGACAATCTTACTCTGTGTCACGATGTTAATTACCACATGCTCGAGCGTATTTACCCATGCTTTTTCTTCAAATATACGTATAACACAAAGAGAGTCGACGAGTAACTCGGTTAACATTAGACACTGCTTGCGTGCGTTAATGATTTATTTGTGTCCCGCAACATTTTCATTGAAGATTCAAAGCGAACATTTGTTTCTTCTGATTGCAGTAGTACCAGTGAGAACTTTGAGAATGGAGATGAGTTGAGGATTGACTACGATGTTGAGCTGTCTCTCGGCCGTGGTGGCCTCCATTTTGGTTCACCAGATACGTTTCCTGTGCGCCGCCAATACTTTGGGTGAGTTGGAAAAAACCATTTGATTATAATATCGGAGAGAGTTGACAATAATCATTCTTGTATATCGAATAGCGAGTAAACCTACTAGAATTAAGGATAAAAAGATATGGAATAAAATGGGAAAGTAAATTTTGTGCACGATGTCCTTACACCGGATTGCTTTTACTCCTGGGAGGAGGCGAGTCAATTTTTTTGATCAGTGAAAAATATCCAGACGCAATTGGCGGAAAAGGGAAAATCAGATTATATTCGCTGAATAACGAGAGCCACGAGAGAGAGCCGAAGGCTGAGGGATCGATATCCAGACATTGTCCTATAATTTTCCAATTAAGGCATTGGATTCTCATAAATCCATGAGGAGGGACGGCTTCCATAAATTTGACGCCGCATCGTGCGACAAACCACGGTTCGAACCGACGTACTTTTAGATTTTCGTGGCGGCTCTTACAACGGTTGGTTGAAATGCTGAAATTGAAGGGAAAGAAGAACGACGAGAATCGTGCAATTGGTCGCGATACTTCTGAAAACGGTACGGAAGGTCTGTTTTCCTTTGGCAGAAATAATATAGGGCACTTCCGGAATGTATTGGATATCTCTGGGCGCGAGTATTCGTTGTCTCTCTCTCTCTCTCTTTTTCTCTCTCCATGCAACTCGAAAATATATTACAACAGGAGCGACTTGAGAGAACTCGTCGAAAAATGCCTTATTTTTAATGTACATACGGCACAAAAATATCGCATCTCCGAGCCAATTTTATTGTCAACATTTGTCAAACTTTGTGTTTGATGAATCTATTTTTTGTAACTTTTTATTGCAATCTGATTTCGACTGTAACTTCTTTTCTTCACATTGTTCTTTCAAGATTTATATCCATCATTCGTCGACGAGTCCCCCAAAAAAAACACATGCTATTTTATATTTTATTCATTTTATTTTCTTCGCGTCTGCGAAAGTATCTAAAGCGTATTTCGAAATCCTTTCTCAGAGTTTATCTCTGCCGTAGAGATTATGTGTCCCCGTCTTTCTGGCGGATATTAGAAGTCCGTTCGCCTCATTCCTTTTCCGGGATCGTCTCTCTCTCTCTCTCTCTCTCTCTCTCTCTGCAGCGAGAGAATTCAACTTGTTAGATTGGTGTAAGCGTGGGGAGGGAGGGAGGTAGAGAGGGTCCTTTTGCAGTTACCGGGGCTGATATATCTCTCGAGGATTATCCCATCGTTCTACAAGAAATAGTTAGGTCGAGACCTTGAGGAACGAGGAGGGAGAAACGATTCGTCAAGGCAGGGTGAAAGACGGAGGAAGAAGGCTCGCTTGTCGCGTGTGAGGGCGATCAGCTGAGAAAATAATTTCCAAGTGCATCTTTTGCACATAGTCGAGATTTCTCCGATCTTCGTGGAAATTGAGAAAAAGCTCTCTCTCTCTTTCTCCGACTGTCAAACCGAGTTTGTGCGCGGAAGCAACCATTTTGAGAATCGTCGAGTTTGATGGAGAGAATATATTGCCATTTTTCCTATCCCCGCGAATTCTCCATCGCGGTTTTCTTTATTTTTCTACCACTCCTCGCGCTTGTGTCTCCTTCAGCGCGGCGCGAGCTTTATAAGAGACGAGATTGCACGGTTTTCCGGTATCGTTTCACGAAAAAAAGGAAAAAAAAAAAAAGAAACGACACGCCGGGAAACTGGCTTTATTACCTCTTTCTGTTCGATCCGTGCGCATATCGTGCCAAGCTATGTAAAGCTATGCTTATAAGAGACGCCCGGTGTCTTCGATCGCGGGTGAGAATAGAGGAAGATGAGACTGCGGCTGCGAAAATTCTCTCCGCAGAATACAGCGTTGAAATGTACCATGTAACATTATCATATTATCGCTTGATTTTTGTGGCATATTGCTTATACAATTTAAATTTCAGCTAATTTTTCTGCGATAAATTTTGTGGTTTTTTTTTTTCGCGTGCGCGTAATTGTCGAGTAATTTCGGGAAAAAAGATTTTCGGAATACATTTTTTTTTTCTCTTGGAGAATAATTTTTTTTTTATTTTTTCTGGCATCACGAGTAATTCCTATTTCGATAGGTATACACGCATAATACGGCCATTGTTTGCAACATATCTCGTAACGGGACGTTTACTTTTGTTATATGCATCTGTCTGAATTTTCACGAAAATATTTATTCAGTGCAATGTAATAAAAACAAACAGATGGTCCCGTATGCGTTCTAGCGCGTCGAAATTATTTCGCGCTTTTGCATTTAAATGAGAAAACACATGTGTGCCGTTGCGAATTTATAATATGTTAGATTTTGGCAAATACGATTTTATTTATTTTATTTTCTCTGCCGCATATTATAAATAAAATATTTTAATAAAATGATATTTCTCTCATTTAATTTTTCTTATAAATAAATATTTCTTTCTATAAATATATATATATGAATTTATTTTAATATACGAATTATATAATCTTCTTGTTTCTATGAAACGTGTGGCGTCTATTGAGAAATTTGCCATTACGCAGCTTCATAAGGGAATATATTTGCGCGTGCCATCTCAGGAAGTTATATATAGTCGCGTGTGTTTCCCACTGATAAGGCCATTCAACGTGTCAGCAAGTAAAGGGATTCGCTTCGTCATGCGTTGCATCAGAGTGGAAAGTGAAATCTTTTTCAATATCATCTACAAACTATTATTATTTTTCGAATGTAAACTGAATCTTCCAAAGACATTATTTTTTAGAACGCAAACGTCCATTTTTAAAATTTTTGAATCTATAAAAATATATATTGTATATACTATATATGTATAATATATATCTATCTAATGTATATTTTTGATATATATATATAATATCTATTTATTTATCTATCTAATGTATATATTTTAGGTATATAATACATATACTAAAATATATATATTATTATAATGAAATTGTTAATAAAAAAGATTGTATTTATATAAAATGAAAAAAATAATTAATTAATTATACATTAAAATGAATAAGAGAAAAAAAATATATATATATATTTTTTGTATATTCTTATAGTCTATTTTCTTTCTTTCTTTTTGTTTTTTTATTAAAATGTAAATTTCTGTTAATGCGAAATAAACATCTCCATGCATGTAACCAAAACAAAATTATAATTTAGTAAGCGCGATAATTAAAGCCAACATTGTTTCGCTCTGATTCATTTCTGACGTGGCGGGAAATAGACGCGCAACCCTGTGTCAACATCGAGCAATTAATGGATATCAGGGGATTTTTCACCAAGATGATCACTCGATGTGCTATGGCCTGTTTTTCTTCAGAATGTACAGACCGGTACCGAGGGATGTAATAGATACTAAGGGTTCGTTCTATTAGCTCATGCTGCGAAAAATGCACACGGTAGAAATACCCGCAAAGAACCAATCCGGCAGGCAAAAAGCGTAGACTTAACTGTTCCTGAAAGGAAAACATACGCGTTAGTATTAAAGGGCGAGACGCCTTACATTACGAAATTACAGTTTGGTACCCGAAACGAAAAAAAAAAAAAAATAGCCCGGAAAACCTTTATCAGAAATCTAATCTCTCTTTTTTATCGGAGAAAAATTTCCTCTAGTTGCTGATTTCAGACATTTTTGACGTTTCGCTTCGTCTGTTTTTGATTGAACTTCCATCTCGATATCCATCTCGATTTTTACTACCTATTTTTCGCAGATTTCACCAATTTTTCTCTTTTTACGAAAACAAGCGGAAATATTTTATTTATTTTATACGTATTAAGTTACGCATCTATTTATTTTATGCAAAATTTAATTTTATAAACTGATTATAAAATTACAACCTAAAATATATGGCATTAATTTTGAAATTAACTTAATTTACGATATTATTATTTTGTTGTTATATAATAATTTATATTAAATTTTTCCTGCAAATTTTGTTCCGAAAATTTTGTTGAGAACGAAACCGTTTAGAAAAGATTTGAACTTACCACGCTCAATTTGGCATGAACTTAGCTCACCTTTCACAGAGGTAAGTCGCATTTATAGTCAGACTTTTGTAGTTGCTTGAGTTAGTTTCACAATGTATAATATTTAAATCCTCTCTAAAGAAAATCTCATTTTATTTCCAATGTTGAATGTGTATATTATCTACTTTTTAAAATACTGTAAGTTTTTTTTAAAATAATCCACACAATAAGAGATAAATATAATCCACTGATTTTAATAAGATTGTCGAGAGGAATTATATTTAAAAAAATAAGCGACTGGTATAATACCATATTAATATGTATTTTTTTATATTTAATATATCAGCCTTTATTATTATATATTTTTGGAATAATTTTTGCCGTACAAAATCGCGTGTTTATTTATAAATACATTTATTTCTGCCGCATTAAATATTTGTATTTTATATATATTATTTTTATATAAATACAAATATCATTAAAATGACAATAATTATACTTTACGCTCGAACAGCGAACGTTCATATTTACTGTTTACTGCATTTAACATGCAGCATTATGTGTATTTAGGATTAACTACATAGTGGTTGTGCATATACACATAGTTTGTGTCGCTTTAAAAGCAAACTGTGGTTTCCTTAATTATATTACAAACATGTAAAATAATAGAAGACGCGGATGCAGATTTCAGTGTATATTTTTTTTATCGTAGGTGTATGAGGTGGAGAGTTTCGTGACTGAAACAGGCGGCACTCCTGAACCGAGGCCATTTTTCGAGGATCCCGAAAGTAACATTACCGTACAGCTTGGTACTCAAGTTTACATGCACTGCAGGATACAAAATTTACAAAATAATCTTAAGGTAAGTTATATGTTTTTATACTTTTGCGAGAATATATTTAACATAATGTAATGAATTTGCCTATAAATTCGATTCATGCGTGTTTTTATCGCGTACATCAAATATAAATTTTTCTGATTGATATTCTAAAACTCCTTTTCACATATAAATTTTTATAATATTATTCTATGAATAATATCATAAAAAATAATATATGCAGAAAAATAAAATATTTTATTTATTAAAATCTATTCAAAAAACGCTCTCTTTTTCGTAATAACGTTCGAATATAAATTTGATGTGTGTGTGAGTGTGTGTACATACATAAACGAATAAACATAACAACGTATTTTCAACGTTTGCGAACGTTACGTTGCTTTCTAAAATTTAAGCTTTCTACATTGTTTTATGAAGAGATCTTGTTGGTTTTCCCATCTCCTTTCTCATGTGCAGCTACTATGCGGCACTTAGCTCATCCTAATTCTCCCAAAGGAAATTCCGCGGATAGCGGTGGGATATTTTCCTCCCAATTTTGTGACAGTGCTGCTCTATCACTATGATATAAATGGCAGTTATAATACACGCGATCTTCCATTTTTTCAACAAACAGATCTCGTATGTATTTATTTAAATTTTTCCACAAGAGAAGTTATTTATTTAAAAACAAATTTTTATTGCATATTTTAGGATGTCGCATTAAGATAAAAAATTAAAAGGAATATATGAAAAGACTTCATTTAATTTAGATATTTTAACTAAATATATTATTGACTCTCATGTCATTTTAATTCGTTTTAAATTTTAAGTTATAATGTAATAAATTAAATATTAATTTCATAAGCTCTAGTTACCAATGACTATGAATAGGCTATGAAAATTTAGAAAACTGCATTACGCGAAATTTAATATAATATTAATATTAATATTAATATTAATATTAATATTAATAAACCATTTTGCGAAGATACTAAAAATAATGATCGATGAATATAAATTGATTATAAAAAAAATAGAAAATTCGATTATATGAAATTTAATATAATATGAATAAAAAAGGTTCCGTGGAAATATTGAAACTAATTAATTTTGCAAATAATGTGTAATAAATTAAATAAATTATAAATTACGCACAGTTATAAATTACATCATGGTAATTATTCCGCTATTGCTTGATGTCTTTCCTCAAAGCTTTTCCTTCTTACTTGTTCGTCTTCGCTGTTGCGTCACGAAACTTAAACCATATTCATTCGCGAAAACATGCTTAATTACCCTATCACGTACACTAATTAGCAGAATACGATGGTTGCGCGGCACTTTACACAGTACTCTCAATATTGATCGTATACGACACAAATCTTATTATATTGCGATGGGGAGAACGACGTGGAAACTAGGCGGAAACTACGATTGCACAAACATTACGAAATTCGCTCAATATTCGGAAATCGCACGACCAAATTTACGGATCGCAACGATTTTATAACTATCGTGAGCAAATAATATATATTTTCCATTTTTTGAAATAATTATATTATATTATAATACATAAAAATAAATATGTAAATTAAAATTAAAATTCAAAATGTAATATCTAAAAATACATCATTACTCTGATATACGTTATTTACTATTCGCAAGATAGGTTTCGGATTTCGGATAAATCAGATATATATATAAAATTTCACAAAATATACTTACTATTAAACGATCAAAATATCACGTCTAGTTGTTACTTGAATCATTCGATTTGTTTTATGCATTTACATATATGTTTATTATTCCGTGCTCTCAATCCGAAAATGATGATAAGATATAATTAAAGCAAAACATTCAAATCGGGAAATCGAACAGTTTTAAAGAGATTAATATGATTCGCATATATATAGCATCGTACTAAATTAAACAATGTATATTCGAAGTATCAGAAAAAAATTCTCACAAATACAATAATATGTTGGTTAATTTTATCTGCTCTTTTACACCGTTTTATTACGTTATTTTACAGTGCAAACATGATACTATGTTTTATTTATGTACTCGTTATTAAATAAAAGAGGAAGTCTATTTTGATAGAAGTTGATACATTTGTGAAAAAAAAGATTTATATTTTTTGGGATATCAGAAACTAAAAAAGAATCGAGTATATTTTCGGGATTGACAGAATAACGAAGCGATTATATGGTTTTTATTTAGTGTCAGTTTTATTTAAAAAATAAAAATCAACTTAATAAATCGATCTGTGAGCATAAATAGATAACAAAATCAATTTCTTCTAAACCAATTATTGAGATTCTTAAATTGAACGATTTTTGATCACATACGATTTTACGTTTGTAAAATTTCCAGTGATGTTTTATTAATACTCTAACAAGTTGAAATCAATTTAATTTTGTATGTAGATAATCGAAAATTCAGTTATATTCAAAAATGAGCAAATTTCTTTATTTAAATATTTTTTAAAATTTATTTCGTAATTATTTATAATAAATTAAAAAAGCGCATAAAAATGATCGAAATATATTTATAAATATATTTTAATGGAGATTCTCTCTCTTTCTTGGCATTTATAATAGCATTACTTGTGAAAATTGCACGATTTACGCACAAACAGCAATTTTATCAAAGTATGGATTTAGAACTTTCAGTATGTAATATCTACGAATAGTTTTCAAATTTTCACTCGAAGCTCTGCGGTTTACTAATTCCAGAAGGCAAATACATTTGCACGTAATGTTTCTTCGCATATGCTACTATTTCGAATCGGTATATACCCATCGAGCTTAAAGCTATCTAATCCCTGACATATAGACGTAACGAGAGCATTCAGCTGGAACTGGTAGTCATGAACCTTTGAAACAGTTTCAAACTTGATATTGCCGAGGCTCTTAGAACAAGTAGCACTTCGATGTCAGCAAATACCAATATTGACACAATGTGATAGATAATTTCAGATTCGGTTTTCGGAGGAAAAAAATATTAATTATTATTGTTATTATAACTTTGTATATCCGTGAACTTTTGCATACACTACTTTTTTTGAAAACTATTATTATTATTAATAGTTTGTTGCCCCTTCATTTTTGCTTCTTTTCTTTAGAAGTGACATATACATACTTATTAAAAATTCACATTAACGCGCGAGACGAAAACATTTATCTCGCGCATCCATCTATTTCAAACTACTTTATATGGGAGATGCACGATTGTCGATACATCGTTTATCATAAAAAAGAATAGCGTAAGTGCACCGTTACATTTACGATGTATCGTGATCTATAAATCGTTGCTGAACTTACCAATCTCTCGAGCAAAGCTCGAGTCGCATAGGAAGCATTCACAAATAGTGTAGTGGAACATCTCGCTCGTTGGTTTGCGAGTGCTTGGAATTCAATCTTTCTAAGTGAGAGTGCGATGGGTTGGGTAAAGCAAGTTGTTTCATATAGTGGGATGAGAATTGTATGCATTTGTATCTGCATCGTTACAAATGCATTTTTTAATTTTTATTTATTTAAGAATCGATTTGTCGTTTCTTTCAATTTACACATATTAAGAATATAAATTGGATAACATGTCAAATATCGATTTTATACGCTAATATGCAATTAAGATTGCGAAATAAATAATATTAAATTAAATTCCTATACACATATATGTATCTTTGATAGATGGATTTAATTGTGCTCTTCTTTATCAAATCATATTCGCCAAATATTTTCGAGAACATGCCTTAGAAGGAATTTACGATGATCGAAATATTCGGTATCTTCGTCATAGGAAATTTTCCATCTTAACAATGGCTAATTATTCCTGATATTTATGAGGCGTTATTATATATTCTAGGCGTTTTAGTTTATATATATAAACTACCGCCTCATAAATATTAAGAATAATTAGCTTTTGTTAAGATGGAAAATTCTTCTCTATAATGTGTTTATTTATAGTATAATTTATATTATTTAAGATTTATAATATTAAATTTAAATTTATAATATTAAATAGAAAAATTATATATATATAATATTATAAATTTTATATAATGTAAATTGTGTTATAAATGAACATTAATAGAAGATTTATTATAAATCAACATTACATGTATATAGAGGCTTTCCCATCTTAACAAAAGCTAATTATTCCTTATTATTATATTAAATAATACAACGAGAGAGTTTAGAAACATTTGTTTATATTAATAATTAATTGAAGTGTATAGTAGATAAAACATTTTTTTCCGCGTGATAACAAAAAACAGTAAATTGTTAATTTTATTCTGTTTGATGCTGAGAAAAAATATGGAACGGCAAGTTCGTTAATAGTAACAAAGACGCGTTTCTTCCCTTACGATCAATAATGTTAATAAGACGGTCGCTGCTCTCTAATGCAGGATCCATGAGTTTGCTGTTCCAGCTGTTTATTCTCAGTCGCCCAGTGTCGAGCAAGTACGAAGAATGATTGACTAAAACTACTTAAAGACAGCCCACGTTCGTAAAGCTCCCATCTCCCTCGGCTGATGAAATAATCAATTTATGTAAAATATTTCAGCGTGCATATTTTATCGGCATATTATGAATATAGTTATTTTAAACTACCACTACAATTTCACTCTGGTTTTAAAGTTTTATATTCGCACATGTATACGATCGAGAGGGAAAACTGTACTCGAGTTGAAACGATATTTTCAACATTTTTTTTATTCATAATTAATAATACTTCATAAATCTGCTGCATACAATATCACTTCAATATTTGTCGTTAATGAGATTTACATTATTAAGTGTATAAGAATTGCAAACAAGAGAGGGAGAGAGAATAAAATAAAAGGTTATATATAACTTGAAGTTACTAGCTGCAATGCAAATAGCTGCGGTTCCTATAAGCAGAGGACTTCCATACTTTGTGGATTGTCTCGAAGTCGTTTCGAACTTCTTCCCATTTTCGCGACTTTCTGCGCATATAAACGCGTGCGTTGACCAAACTTTTAACGGCATCCTCGTCTCGCGTTATACTCAAGTTTATAATTA